CGATCTCACTAGCAAGATCTGCTCCAGTCTCGTCACCTGGCTTCGATGCGCTCTGGCTGCTTAGAGTCCTCAACGCACTGCATGTTGCGCACTTCCAGGACTTTTTTGTGGCCTCTGTCTTTTTCTTACATGTGCTGCCATTTACTCCGGAACAAGTACCGATGTGATAGTTAAATTCACACTCTGAACAGCATAGATAGTGTTCATCATCGGGAAGCAGTTTATGGCAGGCAATACATTTGTTTCCCATTGCTGCCATGCAACGCTTGTTTATGTACTACAAATGAAGCATTCTCTCAGCAGTAGCGGCAACCAGAGAAGAACTTAAAATGTTAAGAAAAAAACAACCTGCGAAGATCAGAAGATACTTTTTGGACGCCTGACGGTACGGTGGTGCCAAAGCTGCTGAGTGCGTGTGAAGCTCGTCCTTGGTTGAAGCAGAGGTCGGCATTTTAGGTCGCCCTCACTCACCCTCACCCTCACAGTCACACTCACCTAGGCCCCTCCCTCACCCTCACCCTCACAGCCACACTCACCTAGGCCCCTCACTCACCCTCACCCTCACAGCTACACTCACCCTCAGCCCCTCAATCATCCTCACCCTCACAGTCACACTCACCTTCAGCCCTTCACTCACCCTCACTGAACCTCACGGCCCTCACGCACTCACCGCCCTCACGGCCCTCACTGCCCTCACGGCCCTCTCGCCCCTCACTCACTCATGGCCCTCACGCCACTTACCGCCCTCACGCCACTCACCGCCCTCACGCCACTCACCGCCCTCACGCCACTCACCGCCCTCACGGCCCTCACCGCCCTCACGGCCCTCACGTACTCATAGCCCTCATGCCACTCACCGCCCTCACGGCCCTCACCGCCCTCACGGCCCTCACCGCCCTCACGGCCCTCACCGCCCTCACGGCCCTCACCGCCCTCACGGCCCTCACCGCCCTCACGGCCCTCACCGCCCTCACCGCCCTCACGGCCCTCACGGCCCTCACCGCCCTCACGGACTCATAGCCCTCACGCCACTCACCGCCCTCACCGCCCTCACGGCCCTCACCGCCCTCACGCCACTCGCCGCCCTCACGCCACTCACCGCCCTCACGCCACTCGCCGCCCTCACGCCACTCGCCGCCCTCACGCCACTCACCGCCCTCACGCCACTCACCGCCCTCACGCCACTCACCGCCCTCACGCTACTCACCGCCCTCACGCCACTCACCGCCCTCACGCCCCTCACCGCCCTTGCGGCCCTCACACCCCTCACGCCCCTCACGTCACTCATGGCCCTCACGCCACTCAGGCCAGCTTCAGATGGGGCAATTTCGCCCAAAAACTTTACGTCGCAATACCAGCAACACGGGCCGCCCGCGATCACACGCAGCAACCAATTGCTGCAATTTGCCATCGTCATCATAAAATTTTATTTTTCTTGCACTATTTAGACACAATTACGCGTTATAACCGTGTTTTTATGCATTTAAATCTCGTTAAGAATACTAATGCACCTTTCTGAAACAGTTTATTTCCAAAAAAAAACGATCGATTTCAAACCAGAACCAAGTCTTTGGGTGTCATCATCACCGTCACCAGGTATCACGTGAAAAATTTGCCTGATTGGATGCAGCCGCTTCAAACGTATTCGAATTGCTCCGAGTTGCTTGCTTATTTCGAGCCCGACCCGATCTCAGCAATTCGTGTCGATCTAGGGAGAGCTAGAGAACAACCCGCCATTAGCACCAAAATTGTTGAGAAAGATGCTCGATCTGAAGGGCGCCTCACGCACTCACCGCCCTCACGCACTCATGGCCCTCACGGCCCTCACGGCCCTCACGGCCCTCACCACCCTCACAGCCCTTACCGCCCTCACCGTCGTCACGGCCCTCACAGCCCTCACCGCCCTCACCGCCCTCACGGCCCTCACGGCCCTCACGGCCCTCACGGCCCTCACGGCCCTCACGGCCCTCACGGCCCTCACCGCCCTCACAGCCCTCACGGCCCTCACTCACCCTCACTCACCCTCACTCACCCTCACACTCATGAATTTTCCTGGTACAGAAACTCACTCACCCTCACCTCACCTGTGAAGATGAGGGTAAGTGAGGGTGAGTGAGGGCCCTCATGAGTGAGGTTTGCCGAGGTATGGGTTGAAGACACTTTTTGGTGCAGGTGCCGAGCGATGACGTAGTGGTCCACCTGCGTGCAGTGTCCAATGGTCGTTCTCGAGGTCCCTCGATGAAAAGTGCTGCGCGCCGCGCTGTCGGCTTGATGAATCACCAAAGTCAGCTGCGAATATCAGACGATACTTTTTAGACGCCTCTGACGCTACCGTGGTGCCACTGCTGCTGAGTACGTGAGAAATTTCGTGTGAAAGAAAAGAAAAAGCTGCGTACGGACAATGCGAGTCAGAAAAAAATCTAGGTACAGCTGAGAGAGTATGCATTAGATGCACATTTGATTAGGCTTTTACAACAGGTGTACGCAAATAGTGAGGTAACAAAATGAAAAGCAGAAATAAGAGAACCGGCAGAAATAAAAGGAGGACTCAGGCAGGGTTTTTCCCTATCACCTCTACTTGTATGATATACCTGAGTATAATGGAAAAAAAAATTAAAGAGCAATTTAGGTTTTGATATATTATATTGCCACGGGTGGTGACCAATAACCAATAAACAATAAATAAACAGAAATAAATAAACGCTTAATGTGGCGAACTTGTGCCAAATATAAAAGTGTACAAAAGATAATAACAGAGCGTCGCGTTCGTCGAAGTCGGCATAGCAGCAGAGTCGAACGGTGGGGCGAAACTGACTGCAGATCAGCACGCGGAGTCCCTTATGTACGCGCGTTGGGTTCTGGAACAATCGGCCTAGATTGTTCGGCGACTGGAACATTCGGAACTCGATCAAATGAGAATGTTCTCAAACTCACGAGAACGCAATGTTGAAAGAACAAATAAAAGAGCATTCCACTGACTGAAATCGAACCCAGACTTTCTGCGCGACAGTCAAGCACGGTAACCACTCGGCCACGCGCGCGGTCGCTCGCCGGCGAGCGTGGCAATATATATAGAAAGAGGGGGAAAAGTAAACCAAGTTATACAAGAATGTTCTACTGAGACGACATTGTACTGTTAGCAGATAGCCGGTATACGTTTCAGGGGCCGATTAAGATCTGTAGAGCGGAAGAAGACCCTCTGGGTCTGAATTTCAGTAACAACAAGTCGGGAATAATGGTTTATGGCTATGAGACGACTCACTGCTGAAAATTCAAGTCGTTTTAATAGACAAGTATAAACACCTAGGAGAATAGCTGAATGAGATAAAACAATACGTAGAAGAGGAATAAAATATGCTAAAGAAAAATAAATGCAGAAATAATAAAGCACAGTACACTATAGAATTACACTAGATATGAAGTTGTCAGGGTAATAAGGAAAGGAGTCATGGTGCCGGGGTTGTCTTTTGGCAGTGCGGTAAAATGCATAAGATCTGAGGTCCAGTAGGGTTTAGAGACCCGGCAGAGGAGCGTGGGAAGACTGGTACTGGGGGCACATGGAAATACACCAAATAGAGCGCAGGGAGATATGTGCGGGGCATCTTTCGAGATTAGAAAGGTGATCAGTAAATTGAAAATTGAACATTGGCTAGACACAATTGACGATACACTATGGGCGAGAAAGGTATATAAACACCAATACATGAAGTCTGAACACTAAATGGACAGACCAAACCCGAAAACAAACTCAAAAAGCAACAGTCAAGTACTAGAGCAGAGCAGTCTACTTCTTGAAAAAGAAACTAAAAGAAGCCGAAAGAAACGTTTGTGAGGAAAGAATGCAAGAAAAAGTAGCTTTAATGTGTGCAGGGGACAAAAACAGGAAACAAGGAAGAAGCATTGGTAGGATAATTCACGGGAGAGCTCGTTGTTCTTCCAGGATTGAGCAGGAGTATTGAGGACTAGCACATATAGGATAAAATACTGAAAAAAAAAATGAATACGCGGTGTGCCGTACGCCAAGAAGAAGACGAGACAATAGAACATGTGGTATTGAGGTGCACAGGGCTTGCTCCCACCCTCCCGGAGGGGTGACGGATTCGGCTGGAGCGCTGGGATTTGCATACGACAATGGATAAATGTATAATGAGTGCATTTTAATAAAAAAAGAGGAGACTAGAAGACTGGTGGAAATCATCTAGTGAGAATTGAATGACGTGCAACTAACTGACACCGCTGAGAACGGGGACCAAGGAAAATTGGGACACTCCCTCCCGCGTGGCCCGGAGCCACGTGGGAGGGAGTGTCCGGGGTAACACCAAAACACCAAAGACGCGGTGCCGGGGTAAAGCCAAAGAGGTTCGACCAGAGAAAAGTGGCGACTCCCATGCCGGGGGGGGGGGGGGGGAGGGGGGAGGAGGAAGGGGGGGGGAGGAGGAAGGGGAAGGGAGGAGGAAGGGGAAGGTGGGGGTGATGTTTTAGTTTTTTTTTGCCAGATCCGAAGTTCACTCTATTGTTATCTCACACCACCTGGTGATAGTTAAGTCATTACAGAGGGTAAGCGAATGGGCGAAGGAAAGAAATCATGCTTTTGTTTCTTAATTTCTTGGCTAAGTGGCGCAAGCTACCGCTCGTTATGAAGGATATAAGCGTTAGCATCAATCCATCCATCCAGTTTAATCCACGACCCAAATCCAGAATTTAGCCATTTGGCACTGGATACTTTTCTTCGGGCTGTTCTAACGCATCAGAAGACAGGCAGGGAAGGAAAAAGTCAAAGCCGTTTACAACTCCCTGTAACGCCGAATTAGAGCGCAGCTCTTGCGGAGGGGGAGGGAAGGGTACTGAGAGGAGGGTATACCCTCCTTCTCCTCCCCTTATCTTTCAATCTCCTCCGGAGGGAGGGGCGGGGGGTCACGTCCACAACCGTTTCGAAAACGCTGCTCAGCAGCCGGTGTGACTGCGTCATTAGGGGTTTGGCATGCGGCATCCCATCGCAGGTGGTGCGGCAGCAAGCCCGTCCGCAGTTCGGCCAATCCAAGTCACCAGAATTGGAGGCCCTGGTGACGCGGTGCTGGAGCACCTTCCCGCAGGACCGTCCCAGCACGGGGGCCGTCGTCCAGGACCTGACTGCTCTGCACAGGTCTCACCTCGAGGCTCGGATTGCCCCCGTCTGAGGCAGAAGAAAAAGCGTGACACACAAGAAAAAAAGTTGGGAAAAAATCACCGTGGAGGCACACCCGCTCAAGACCCAGCGGTCGGATAAGCTCCGTCGGCCCGCTCGGCTGGGGTCGACACCCAATAGGCAAAGTCCCAACGCTCGGCTGGTGGCTGCCAACCCAATATTCGCATCAGTATACTACTGGTGCGTGAATACGGGTTTGAACTGAAGAGAGCTGAGCCACATATTGCTTCGACAGTGCAAGGACGGACCATAATATGTGTTCTCCCGTGCTCTGAAAGTAAGCGGTGATAGAGCGCCATTTGACTAAAGGTTGTATTGGCACGCTCCAATTTATTAATTGCATGAAAGTTCTGAAGATCGAGTTTGCAGCTTACTTTATTAGAGATTCGCCATCACGCGAAGAAAGATATTGGTCGACGTAGTCTGCAACATTTTAACATTTCAATTTTAATCTTGAGCTTTACGGATATTGGTTCGATGACGTCGTGCTTGATTACGTCAAAATTAAAGGCCATGGTGTTAACTTAAACATGTTCTTTCTAGCAATTGTAGAGATTATTTGAAAAAAATTGTTTTGTGAGTGTGAGCACATGACGTTTCATTCATTACGCAGGACCAGATTTCAAAGTAGTCTTACGCTAGCGCAGGTGTCTAGAATGTGTGGCGCTGTAACATTTGTTAGGTGCTGCGTTTGGTACAAGTACTACTCTTCTAAGATTACAAGGTAGTTGTTTTACTTTTTTTTTGTATAGCACAATTATTATAATATTGTGTTTTTATCGGGGAATGCTGCTTTTAGATATGTGATTTTACCAATGACGCATGTGTTTCAAATAAACAGTATTATGAAGATATTGATCTTCGAAATTTTATATTTTATAACATCACGTATAGTAAATATTTGTAAAAAAGAATATAGCACCACACGTGAGCATCAAAAGATACAAAAGTAATCCAAGAAGTGCATCAGAATTTTCGTTAATCGTTGTGTATAAATTGAAAATGGCACAATAATACAATAATCCATTACCTTAGGTATTTTATCTTTGCAAAGGGGAGATAATGCTCTCAGTTTTAAACCAATATTAAATTTTGTTCTTGAGTTTTTTTTTAAGGAAGAGTCGATTTTACAAAATCACAAAATTGTTGTGCATTCTCAATATTTCTCAGTATTATTCATGACGTGGTATTGTATATTATGTTTGTGGTCTATGTGCGATGCCTGTGCGGAAAGTATGCAGCGTTGTTTATTATCTCGCTAACTTGGAGCGCAGCTTAGATGCCAATTGGCAGTCAGACGGGACCTTACTAAGCATGCGTGAACAATCCTTTCAGATTTCAACTGCTCAGTTTGCAGCGAGATGCCATTGAATCAGGTGAAGCACTGTACGATTGTCGGGTTTATTACGTCCGAATGAGTTGATGAGCGGAGATGTATAAAGTTTTGCCACAAACTTTAAAATTCAACAATAGACATTGTCCGAACGATTAAGAAGCGTTTCGGAGATGGTTCAATGAGTTATCTCAAGATAATTATCGTAGGATCAATTCAAAGATGGTCGGCATGCCGCTCGAAGCAATGTGCGATCTGTAAAGATCATAACAGCCAGAACACCCGATAACGTAAAGCGCGCGCAAGCTGCAACCAACAAAACCCGTAGATCGACATCCAGCGAATAACACCTGGCGATCTGAAGCATATGTTTTAACATTTTTGACGGAATATTTAGTCATTAAACGTCTGGTGGCAAAATTCATCTCACCGCTTGAGTCGCAAAAGCGGAACTATTTTCGTGCTGATATTGCACCGGACTTGATGTGAACCTCCAATAACAACCCAGAATTTCTAAGACAAAAGAGATCATAACCGGAGATTAGTCTCAGATTAATGGACATGTCCCTGAAACAAAAATTCATCCAGCCAATGGAAGTCGCTGAAATCTGCACGTCCGAAGAAATCACGAAAAAGTCAGAACCACGCGAAGGTAATGATGACGACCAATTTTGATCATAAAGTACGCTCCTTCAGGCCAGAAAATAAAGAATAATATGTAGAAGCTCTTCGCCGGCTGAAGAACGCCGTAAGAATATGATGACTATAGTTGAGGGTAGCTGGTGAGTGGCTGCTCCATCATGATAGTGCCCCATCTCATTTATCATGCCCTCTGAAGGTTGCTTCTTTTGAATAAAACACTGCGTCACTTCGGTGTGCTATCCCCCTATAACACAGACAGGGCTCCCTGCGACTTCTTGTTTCCCCAAATCTGAAATTTTACATCAAAGGCAAAATATTTGATATCGCTAACGGGATTAAAGGAGAACTGAAATGGTTCTGTATTTGAAAAAAAAACAAAAAAACGCTTATGTAATCTTATTTTTGGCATCCAGGATCAAAAATATCGTAATTATTGTCCAATTTGGTGCGCGAATACTGCAGAAAATCGCTTGCAAAGTACCGCTCAGGCCCCTCGTTCTCAGAGCGTAACGTCATATTCAAGGTTTTCGGAATCTCCGCTCTCGCGAATCTTCAGCGCCTATCAAACCTACTCACGGGCACTCTTGCTATTTTAAAAAAAAGGTCAGAAAGAGGACTGGTGTCTGTGTGTCAGTGCGGGAAAATATTCGCGACTCCAGCAAAACGAACGGCACCTAGCGGGAAAACGCTGAACTGGCCGGAACAGGTCCCTTCGCGATTGCTGCTCGCCTCTTCTGGCTTCCGTGTTTACATGTCGGTGGTTTGCGCGACAGAACAGTTCTACCGGTGACGGTGTCGTAACCGTATTATCGCCTTGTGACCCAGGTTGCTCTGCACGCGACCTATGGAACCGCGTGAGCCATACATTCTGCGTTTCGCAACGTTCATCAGCCCCGTGGAAGGACAGTGGGCAGTCCTTTCCTCGTTTCCTCGAAGAAAGTCCAGCCTCTGGAAGTTCGCTTACCCCAACACATCGCCGCAGGTTCGAAACGTGGAAGATCAAACACAGGGGAACCAATTTTGAGTCCAATGCTTACTTGCTGATGCCCCAGCGTTGTGTGTTGAGCTGGCACATGGCAAGGCACGACCTGGATTTGACCGCCATATTTGCCCTATAGTGGCGTCTCCTATAGGTCGCTGAAGTGGCGAATACTTGGCAAGCTCGCAATTGCACGCGCTGCCCACACGAGCGACACGCGCTTGGCGGCCGAAAGAAATGGGTATGACGTAACGACTGGTCGGATGTTTTTCCTGTTTTTCCGCATTTTTAGTTCCAGGCTTCCTTTCTTTTCAACACTTCTCTCTCCCCCTGTTTTTTCGCATTTAGCTATCTTTGGAGGTTAAAGCCTGATTCACATGGTGCGATTTTCTTGTGCGAAATCGGTGGAGCGATGAACCGGACATGCGAAATTTCGCGCATTTGCAAAGCACATGGTTGGAACCATTGAATTGGTTTGAGGTAACTATCTTCGATATCTAACAAAATTACAAACCATGTTGAATATACCTGAGACTGGGGTAGAAAAACATAAAAGTCGAAGAAACAGAACGGGACAGGACGACGTCTCAAACTCAGCTACCAGGTTTATTCAGTCCTCCTCCTTATATAATCCACAAACAGCCCACCACCAACACAAAGGGGCAACTCTAACCAGTTCAACCGCCAAATCCTCCAGACAGTCACTACCAACACAAAGGGACAACCTCTAAACAGTCCAAACGCCAAACCCTGTAATTCCAAACTAGCGCTATGGACGGCCTTCATGCCGATTCACAAAGATAACTCAGCAATCTCCCCCAAAATTTAACAAAAGGACCATTACCTCTTCCAAAGTAACAAGGATCCACAAACACACACAAAAAAAAAAACAAATTTTTTTTTTTTTTACTTAAATTGTTTTCTTTTCCTCCTCGACGAAAGGATGACACGCACTTCACGTAAAACGGTGCAAAGTTGAACAGTACAGCTTTCCCTGTCCACCCAAAAAAAAAAAAAAAATATATATATATATATATATATATATATATGTATATACACATATATATATACACATAAATATAACTACATTTTTAAAAAACTTTTGGAATTTTTACCGAACTGTAGCGACGCCTGGCTTATGCAATTACCTAAAGACTTTATTCGCACCGTCTCCCTTACTAGCCTTTTTGTATCATTCCTCTCCTTGTGAATGATTTCTGTCTCCGACCAAATAGCAGTGCAGTTGTTACATTCGTTGACATGTTTTGCGATTTCGGAGTTCGGTGCATTGTTCTTCACGTTTCTTTTGTGTTCACTTAATCTGTCGTTGATGCATCGTGATGTTTGTCCTACATACTTAAACCCGCATTCCAGTGGTATCTCATACACCACACCATTCTCGCAATCTACCGATTTTTCTCGATGGTTCTTTCTGCAATTGTTCGCACCTGTCTGAAATGGCGTCAATCTACTAAGTTTAAAATCTGAGCTGAAGACCGTGTCTACTCCAAACTTTTTCGCACAAGCCTTCAAGTTGTGCGAAATTTCATGAAAATAGGGGATCACGGCGAATCCAGTCCTTTTACCCTGTTCCTTTTCTCTCCTTCCTTTAATAACTATTTATAACTGCCGTTTGATAAAACTGTCTTTATACCCTACATTGATCAACCTTTTGCATTGTCTTTTAACCGAATCCGTGATGAAATGAACACACGATCTGTCCAGCGCGTTTCTGACCAACGACTTTACAACCCCAGCTTTTACGGTCTTGGAATGACAGCTAATCCTTGGCAACACCGGTTTAGAACTTTCTTTTCCGTATTCCCAACATACCCCTTGATTTACATGTATACGTAAGTCCAGGAACTCTAGGACCCCTCTTTCTGGTTTTTCCGTAGTCAACTTCAATTCCGGAGCCGCTGACCTTATCTCACGTTCCAGACTGCCCGTTAGATCATTTGTTACCGTGCAAATTATGATGTCGTCTACATATCTTCTTACTAACGCCATACCAGGGGACTTCTCCTTTAGTCTGTTA